AAGAACATGGAAGCCTTGACTCTCTCCTTCCCTTGAAAAATCCTCCATCGAAAATGCTTTGTTGATTATTAACAAATAACTGATCAAGCATACATCACCCTTTGCTTTGTCAGATATATTTTCGAAAGATGTTCAAGGAGGGACTGATGAATCTCAAGAATATAGCCAAAGTCTTCTTTTTTCAAAGCAGTGAGTGAGTGAGTGAATATTAACGTCGCACTGTTCAACTACACGAGGGCTTTTGGCGACGAACCACGTAATTTTGAACCAGGGTCAAGGGACTTGGACGACACCTGAGCTGACACCCCCTCTCCTACCCACACACACCAACGGGAGAATTTGCTCTCGACAGATTTAACGGCATCCGCAGCCACGGCGGGTCGTGGCCGCGGTAGCCGAGTAGTATAGGTACCGGATCGTGGCTTTGCCTTGAAAGAGTTCAGGCCAGTAACTAAAGACCCGCCGTGAAGGGCAGCGATGCACGTTAAATCTGTCGAGAGCTGAAAAGTCCTCCCGTTGGTGGTGGGTTGGGAGGGGTGCCAGCTCAGGTGTCGTCCACGTCACTTGACCATGGTTAAATACTGGTCCGTCACCAAAAGCCCTCGTGTAGCTGAACAGTGCGACGTTAATATTCAATCAATCAATCAATACACGGTGGGCCTTTAGTGGTACTGGGTTCTAACTAGTGACAAGGCCAGCCACGATCCGATACCTTGACCACTCGGCTACCACGGCCAATTTTTCAAAACAAAGGCATATTGCAGTCATTTCAAGCCCAGAAAAAATACTGACTTCATGTTACACAGATCAAATAATGCTCTTTTTTTATTATTTCCCCTTGAATTTTGTGTCCTTGTCCAATAATTAGTTTGGTAGTTTTTATGTTTCATAATATATTTTTTTAAAAAATAAAAAGGTTATCAAATAAAGTTTTCTTATTAAATGATAAAATAATCTTTGTCGAAAAGAAATAGTTAATGTGAATTCATAATAAAAATTTAGATCGAAGTATTTTAGAAAAGTATAGTCTTTAATATATAACAAAAGAAAATAAAGATATCTAAGAATAGCTCACTTTTCTTTTTCGTCTAATACGAAGAATTTATTCATCTCACATGCTCGCGTATAACAATAAAATTAGATTAAAATAATATTTTTCTCAAAAAAAGATCTTTCGATATTTTGATAAATGAATGAACATAGACATAAATAAAGATGAAATTTAAATGAATGTAAATAAAAGGGGTGAAATACATTCTGCCAAAGACCACTTCTTACAAAAATCATTTGCATACGAATTTCATTTCTACAGCTATTCTTTTTCATATGCTTCACCAATAGTCTTTTTTTCAATGTTTATAACGCATCTTCTCTTTCTTTTTTATTCAAGCAATTGCTTCTATGAAATAAAACTTGTAGTATTTCTGGCTAAGAATATTGAAACATGGAATTTAATTTAGGATTTTACTGGGAAAGAATATTTCGACTCTAGAAACGAGTTTGAAAAAAGCAAAAGAGGATCACAAAAGGCGGTTCAAATTGCAGAGAATTTGTTTTAACCATTAATTTACCTGAAAGATGATTATTGCTTTCCCCGCTTTTATTCAATACAATTTTAAAAATAAGTTAACGATGTTCATTTCATCTTGAAATAAATATTGCTTCTATTCTTCCAAACAAAGAGAAAACATATTTATCAATATTGAATACTTGATTAAACAATTCATTTAAAAATATTTTTAATAGATTCTCCGATATATACATATTTTAAATTGAAGAATTTTTTTTTGATTTTCCTCAAAACTTATATTCAATTATAGAATTATTGTTATACTTTTTATTATCTGTACATATTATTAAAATATCCTGAAGAAACTGTTAAAACCATTCAATATTCTATAATATTTATATTTTCCTGTAACTTGAAAATCTCACAATAACAGACAAAATTTTCTGAAAAATACATATACGAATAAATGAAGATATTCCTTAATTTTATACGGACCACATTTTTGTAAGCACTTTTAACACAAAAGGTTTGGTAATCCTTTCAGATTCTAAATCAAGCTTGGAAGCCCTCATAAACAGATAGACTAACATCACCATAAATTTCCTACTCTAGCAGATGCATTACAAGAGGAAATTCTATATGCTGCAATAGACACCCTCGAAATATCACAGTATCGAAAAAAATGAGTGTGTTGATTCTTTACCCAAAGAAAACAGAGACCATGGTCAACATTGTACCTCCATCACACTTGCTGATGCAAACGCTGTAGCCAGATCTAGACTTTTACCCCATTCTTTTAAGAAACCGCTCATAACAGACCTTGATTCCCCGAGAATCATAACTTCCTCAAACACAAGACTGAGAACTTGTGACAGGGCTTTATTGTATTTTCTTACTAATCCTCTTGGAGAATCTTTGGGGCCAGAATGGCATTGTTTCAATCCAATCCTCTCAAGAAGAAAACGCGATATGCAGATTATAGTTAATAGATATATAATGGAGCTTTAGCATTCGCGTGTTAGTAGAATGGAAGAATAATAGTAGATGAATAGTAGAAGAGTAGAATAGAAGAAAGACAGAAAGCTGAGATGCTGATCACCGTGAGATATTGGTAAGATATTAAAAATAGAAGCGTAATTATAGAACGGGCTTTAGCGTGTTAAGGAATTTAGGTGTTAAGGATTCCTAGGATAGCTTTTCATAAAGATAGTGATTAGAATTCCAGGCGCTATTTACTTAGAATTTAGAATCACTCCTGATTACATCCCTATAAGTAAGACTTGTGTTGATCAATATATTGGAATAGAAATAAATTAGATTAATTATGAAGAATTTGGGGAATCAATCATTTCCTTCTACAAATGTAGGTCACGCAGATGAAGAGATGATACCCCCGGTCCGCGGGTATCACAAACTCATCATTACAAAGACAGGAAAATACATCCTGACAAAACAATATCTTACATACAGAGTAAAAACTACCCGGAAATCCTACCGCTCACACCAAAACATATCTTCGAGCGTCCAGCTTTCTCCCCAAGAGCACTAAGGCTCGCTCTAACTCCAATTATGAACCAACCCACTGCAGGATATCCTCTATAGCCAAAACACTCCTGATTGCCAACTTGGGTGGAATCTAAGATATGTAGTATTTATTTATTTGTTAATTCCATGGCCACGAGAACTGCAACACTTTATTTTCTACAGTTTTATTAGATCCTGTAATCTCAGTATAAGTTTTCATAATAAAGAATTTCTCAGAAAAAATTTATTTTATGACACACAATATTTTAAATATATTTCTTTGCTATATAGGATTAGATTCTGTAACGAGAATGGTAAAAAGATGGACAATAGTGCGCACTCTTCGCCGAGTGAATACTTACTTAACCAGTCAGTCTGCCAGCTAGGTGATGGCCACGGTAGCCGAGTGACCAGGGTATCGGATCGTGGCTGGCCTTGTCACGAGCTCGAGCCCAGTACCACTAAAGACCCACCGTGTGGGGCAGCTATGCACATTAAATCTGTCGAGAACTGAAATGTCCTCCCATTGCTGTGGTGTGGTAGTTAGGAGAGGGGGTGCAGCTCAGGTGTCGTCCACGTCACTTGACCATGGTTCAAAATTACGTAGTCCGTCGCCAAAAGCCCTCGTGTAGCTGAACAGTGCGACGTTAATATTCACTCACTCACTGCCAGCTAGGTGAAGAAAGCAGATGTCAATGTCTACGCGCACAAACCTCTCGTTATTTCTATTCTACTAACCGTTTTGATATAATTGTAACTGTGATCAATTTAAGTGTGAAAGAATTTGAATCTGTTTTAATCTTAAAAGAGTTTGAATTTAGAGACCATGAAAAAAGTTGAACTGAGATAACCGCCAAAGTAATTCTCTGGATCCCTCAGTCTTACACTTCTTATTAAATTTTCCAAGAAGGGACTAAAATTAAAAAATTGTATCTGTTCAGAACACATGTCAATTAAATGCGTTGATACAGAAAAACTTTATCCAGTTTTTTTTTTCTTTTTTTCTCCAGAAGACTATATGTTTTATTGTAACAACAATCAGTTTTATAATTTATTTAGTTTAGTTTTTAATTAATAAGCATTTTAAAAAAAAAAATGAAAAATACGAAAAAAAATTGAAGAATATTATTAAATAAAGAAAATTTCATGGAAACAAAATACAAATTATATGTTTTATGATTAGAGAACAAAACAATTTGCTTAGAAACAAACAAAACTAGGCAGCTTCAATAGAACTAATTCATGTTATTTGTTAATCTACCCTAAGAGTGTAGCTTATTTAAGTGTCCAGCAGCTTGTAACGGTAAAGAGTGTTTAAATTAAAAATCCTATAATATTAAAATGATGAATAGTCTACTCATATTACAAATGCACTAAATAAATATAGAACATTTTTACAACTTTACACAAAAAAAGTAACTATCCATTTAAACACAACTTTTCAACTATAATAGAAAATTTGTGATTCTGTCATCATAGATGTGTATTAAAATTAAAAGAGACATAATAAAATGTTCCTGATAAAAATATTCTTAAAAATTCGAAATATTTTTCAAAGCCTTTAGTATAAAACTAAGAAAATGCTTACAAGGATACATCGTAATAAAATAGTAGGTGTCCCCAAATGAGAAGGAAACTTTAGTCCCTAGCCGAGATTCTCTTGTAACATGTAATATATAAACAAAATTTAACTCAATTAAGTCCTACTTAGGTCGACAAAGAAAAATTTTATTTAAATCACTTTTCATCAAATAGTTACATTTAATATAAATATGTATATACATATGACAGAATCACAATACTAAGTGACAAAATAGAAAGCAATTTTCCTTGCAATTTTCCATTTTCCTTTCTATATATGGTGTTGGACTACTTTTTTGTTTGTCACTATTTATTCATTAATTTAATTTAACTATTCTAATAAAATAGTATAGTAAAAAAGAAATCGCATTCTCAGAAAATAGGTCATCCCAGGTGGGATTCGGACCCACGACTTTTGGATTAGAAGTCCCAAAGCGTATCCATTTGCTTAACAGGGGACACAACGGAAAGATTTTCCTTTCTATATATGCTGTTGGTCTATTATTTTGTTACTATTTATTCATTTTTAATTTAATTAATGAATTAATATTTGAAAAAACTGTATTGACAATAGTGTCTTCCTCTACAAGTTGAAAAAAATGCATTTGAACTTGAGTGGATGAATAAAAAGTATTTTTACTAAAGATTGAAAATTTGAACAAGATATATATATATAAATAAATAAATAAATATAGGGAGATTGTGAACTAATAGTAGGAATTGAATGAAAAAAACAGTCTACAGTACCCAGAAGGCCGAGAAAGTGTTATTTAATTTCTTTTTTGTGCGTAGAAGAATCTATACTTGTTAACTGACTACAACGTAGTTGAAAAATTAATGCTGAGATGAATTGGAACACGTTGTTGAGGCTCAAAGAGACCACCCCCAACAAGGGCAGAAGCAAGTTCTCGAATGGAATAGTGCTTCTTCAGGACAACTCTAGACCACATGTAGCCAAGAAGATTCTCCGACTCTTTGAAAAATTTCAATGGAAGATCGTGCAACGTTCTTTTTACAGTCCCAGATATGACCCATGCAACTCCCATATCTTCAGTCCCTTAAAAAAATTCTGAAGAGTTCAGATGTACAGGATACTTTGAGAAACTAGATCGTTTATTCTTTATGCATAGAGATCAGTGTATTGATGTCAGTAGCGATTATTTATGACTCCATATGAATTTTTTTTTAATAATTGTTATTAAAATTTATTTAAATACAATTGTAGTCATCTTTTTATTTGTATATACCTTATATTTTTACATTGCTTCAAATAATATTGTCATTTCTATATGGAAACACACACACAATTTTAAAAACATTGAGAGGGTCAATATTTTAATGCGTTTTGAAATTCGAAACTAAAACGAGTAAAGATTTGATTTAAAAATAAAGCGTACTTGGCTAAGAAATTGCAAAGTTATACTGGTAAAAAAGGGTTATATATAACATGTTTTCTTAGAATTTTTACAATTACAAAATTATTTTAATTCTAAAGAAAAGATAACAAATCTAAAATGCTTCTTAGAAAGATTTAATAAAAAAAATTACATGGATATAAACAGAAACTAAACTAATCCAATAAATCAATTTAGCATTTTCTAAATCTTTCTAAAATCCTTGCTTATGAGTTTTGATTTCCTGTTTTCATTTAACTTATTCAAAAGAATTTATGATAAAAATAATATATTTAAAAAACTGATTTTCTTAAGAAAGTTATGGTAAAATAATTTAAACTGAATATATATATATGTTTTATATATATATATATATATATATATATATATATATATATATATATATATATATATATATATATATATATATATATATATATATATATAAACTGTAAAAAAACACGGATTTATAATTTTCCTTTTTTTCCTATAAAAAAAATTAACATCTCAAATAGTCTTTAGAAAGATATCAGAAAATATCAGCCAAATTCGAATGTATTGTGTATCCTGTTGCCAAAATAATAAGATTAATTGGATGGGAATAATATAAGTACGTGTTTAAAAAAGGTTTTACAAAATGAATTACAGAAATATATACGGAATATCAAAAAGCAAAAGCAATAAGAATAAAGATTAATTAGCATCGCGAAAACCGTCTCTCGTAAACAAAGCAATTTATCAGACAAAAGAGAAATGAATACAAGAACATGAAGAAAAACCATCTTTCAAAAAGATATATGCACCAATTTAATGAATGAATGTTTTTATTTGTTAATGGGGAAAATAGCAGTAGTGTCATATCGGTAATCCATTATAAATGCTACAAAGTGTACGTTTCTTTCGTAATTAAAATTTGACGTTTAAAGAAAGATGAATAATGAAAACGAATATTTCCTCCTTTGGAGTTTGATGGCATTGGTTTGTTTATAAGAGCAATGGAAAGTGTAATGTAATACTTAAAAAAAAATCTCGGTAAAATCCTAGGAGAACCCACACCATTGGCGACAAACCGAAATAAGCGCCAAGCCAGAACGAGATGTCGCCAAGCGAAAACGACAATGGCTGCAAGTGAATATAGCGGGATAAGGTGGATGCGTAGTGAAAATATATGTAAACAATACTGAAATTAAACATTTGAGATAAATAATATAAAAACAACACTTACTTTCTTACTAGTGATCTTTTCCAAGTGGAGGGTACAGCGAAATAACAGATTTTAAAAAAGTCCTTAAGTTCTCATCGCTAAGCGAATGATCGTGTGAGCGCCGCCAAATATATTCTCCATTCAAATCCATCTAAAACTGCACTGTTTCGTTTGTATATAATCCCATTAGCTCATTACATTTAGGACATTCATAACTCGAAGCAATCAATCCTTCCTTCATACACCATTCAATCAATTCTTTCTTACCTTTCACATTCAACAAAGTAAAAATTTCTAAGGTATATTCATTCACACACGCAGCCATACTTCCAACCCGGTGTCCAATAACAAAATGAAATTCGAAATGCCTGCCGACAAAATACGAAAATTACAGAAATAGTTAGGTTTACTTTATCTAGTGTATCAAAGTAGAGTTACCAAGATGGCGCAATTATCACCAACCAAAATAATTCGCGCCAAGGGTGTGGGCTCTCCTAGGAGTGAACCAAAATCTCCCTTACATATCGCTGTATCTCATACAGCGAAAAAATGAAATACACGACTACTAATAAAATCCCACTTTTATATTTGAATATAACACTGAATACTGAAAAGTGCACAGTAGGCCTTAGCCCTCATGGGTTGTTGCGCCACTGTGTTTGTGTGTGTGCATACATTGTTTAATATTTATTTTATATGCAGAATTCATTCTTGAAACAAAGGAACTTCGTTTAGCATAAATATTATAAGATGTACATCACAATATTATTAAGTTGAAATTTAATAATAGTTGTTTGAAATAATTAAATGTTTTTCCATGATAAAGTTATATAGATTAGTGGAATGTATAGTTTTATTTTATCATCAAAATTATTTCCTTTGATCTCTATCTGAAATTAATATGAATTAACTTTAATAAAAGTACTGCAATGTGCAGTGACGTAATGTACAGCCCCGCATTACCAGGGGACAGGGCTTTAAGGGCTGACACCAAGTTGCAATCCTATGTAAGATCCGACTTTGGACCCAAAACCTGACTTTGAAAGGAGGCTCTAATATTTTCCATTACGGCCACTAGCAACGTGCATTACAAGGAAAAACACTTATTGAAATGAGTTGAAAAAATTTTTTAAAACAAGATTTATTAAATGCGCTAAAAAGTAAAAAACTTTTTTTTAAAAAATTTTGCTATCAACTTTTATGTTACAATTTATGATATAAAAGCTTGTCGAGATTTAAATATTCGTATTTACTATTTGAAAATTTAAATTAAAATCAATCGATCAAGTTATTATTTGCTGTTTATCTGCACAGGTAAATCTCGCGACAAGCTTTTATATAATAAATTGTGTAATAACGTTATAAGTTGATAGCAAAAAAAATTTTAAAAGAAAAGTTTTTTTTTTATTTTAGCGCATTTAAATAAAGGCTTGTTTTTAAAAAAGTTTTTTTACTTTTTAGTTATCGCTGGACAGGTTTCTCAGTCTGTTCATCTCATTCAATGCATCATTGTTGCAAGGTCGTTTGCCGGTTAATTTTGAACAGGCTAGCTTAGGGGTACTCAATCTTTTTCCCCTCCAGACCACGTACATATGATGGATATTTCACCCGGGCCGCAACAAGAGGATAATGGGGGGGGATAAACACTGTAAGATCAAAACAACATCGGACAAAGCAAAATTAACCAAAATATTAAAACTAATTTTTTTCCTTTTACTATAATACTACATTAAAAACGAAAAAAAACAAAAAAAAATGTTTTTTTAATCCGTAATTTTAAGCCAATTTTTTCAATATTTGTGCAGAATTTGAATAATACTATTTTACAAACAAAAAAAAGTTTCGTGCGATTATGTTTAAAAATGACGAAGTTTTTAAATGTTTTATTAAAATTTGAGTATTTTCCAAAAAATAGAAGAAAAAAAGTTTTCGGCATTTTATTTATTAAATGACTCATTCTAAAAGAGAAAAGTCTGAACTTTCTTAGTGCAGAGTATCGATTCATTAACACGAAAAAAAATTCATACGGTACGATTTAGAAATCATTTTCATGAAAACGCATGGATTTTGACGCATTTTAGAAAAAATCGAAAAAATAGAAATATCGTTTTTTTTGAAAAATTTTTCCCATTTTTGGGGCGAAATAAATGATCATTCCAAATTTTATTTTTGTCCCCGGGGTTTTGATAAAAGGGAAATGGAGGGTTTTTTAAAAAAAGATCAAAAAATCGGGCTTTTTTTAAGCTCAATCATTTTAATACCAAAAAAAAAGCTAACAGGGGAAAAAGGTTTTAATTTAATCCCTTTTTAAACCCAAATTGCGATATGGGGAATAAAAATGGTCAAAACATGCATTGTTAAAAAAACCCAAAACGTGTATAAAAAATTTTAAAACCCCTCGGTTAAAACACCCGGCTTCCAAAATTGAGTTCAAAAACCCATCCAACAAATTTTACATTTTTTTAATATTTTTTTAACTGGGGTACCCAAGAATATAAAATTCAAAACGGGCTTTTGTCACCCAAAACTAAATTTTAAAAAAAATTTTTATTCAATCTTTGGGGGGGCATAAAAGTTTAAAATTGATTTTGCAAAAATTTACCCGAAAAAAAAAAAAATTACTTTTCGGGTTAAATAAAAGTTTTGAAAGAACAAACAAAACTGAGACTGAAAAAAATTAACTTTTTAAAAAAAATATAAAAAATTTTAAAAAAATTCCTTTTTATTTTTGATTTAACAAATTATAGGTTTTTTTTTTTTTTTTTTTTGTTGTTTTTTAAAATATCGTAATGAAATTTTTTTCGGCAATTTTGCATTCCCCTCCAAAAAAATACTGTTTTATAAAAAAAATTGTTTTTCGAA